CAAGAGACTATGTCTCGGAAAGCAGCACATCGTGTGAAACTGTCAAATGATCTGATTTGAGCCTTTCTTTGCTCCACCAGCTGGAGTTTGAGCGGCAGGTGGCAAGCTTGAAAGCAGCCAACGCGGCTGAGAACGACTTCTCAGTGTCCCAGGCGGAAATGACCTCGAGACAAGCCATGCTGGAAAACGCCTCAGACATCAAGGTACCCCGGTTTTATTTCGCACTCCGCTCCCCAGCTTTGCTTCTCTAGCTCTTCCGCGTTCTCCATTTCTCTGTTCTCCTTTGCTTTTGTCTCAGCTGCACCTTTATTTCTATCTCTCGCTGGCATTGTGACTCAAGCGATCATTATATTTTTGAGAATTGTTGAATTTTGCCTGCTCAGGATTGTAAATAAATAAGCTTTGCCTTTTTAAAAGGACCTTTCTTTTTTTAAAAAAAAAATCTTCTAAAAAATTGACAATGATACTAATTTCTCATTTTGCTCAGTCTGGTTCTGTAAGAGTAAGTGCAGATAAATTGTGACATCTTTGCTTAGAGTGGTGGCATTTTGCACTTTGTCACAAATATCTTCCAAGCTAATCCCCAAAATAATGAAGACAATAAAATGCAACCTTGGAACCATCAAAGTAAAGAAAAAACAGATCCCGTGGGTGAAATATGTTTTAAAAAAAACCCCTTTAATATCCTTCATTTTCTGTTTCAGCTGGAGAAGTTCAGCATCTCGGCTCACGGAAAAGAATTGTTTGTCAATGCAGACTTATATATTGTAGCTGGGCGCCGATACGGCTTGGTGGGCCCAAATGGGTAAGTGTATTTTACTACAGCGATTATACAAGTGTTTATTTATTTATTTATTTATTATTTTAATTTGTATACCGCCCTTCTCCCATAGGACTCAGGGCGGTTCACAGCATATTAAAAACAAATAATAAACACAAAATACAAAAAATTACAAAATACAAAAATACAGAAAATAAACCCCGATAAAAGCCGAATTAAAACCAAATATTACAAGCTGTGTTTCCAATTAAAATA